GCCCACTTAATGCGGCATATTTTCTGTTAATCTTCAAACAAGGTCTGCTTGTCAAGACCACGCAATTTAAAGATACATTTAAATTAGCCTTATTGCCAAAGTCTCATGTAACTACGTTTGCTCGGTCATCCCGTCATGTTCGAATAGAATAACTGCTTTTTGTCTTGCCACGGGTTGCATAATTGTATGCTAATAAATATAATTGGGAGGAGTACTGTGACGTCGTTCGTCACTCGTCAGATTAAACGCACTAAGTTTTCTTATCCTCATCTATTCTTTCTTCAAATCTTCACTCATCCCTGCGTTCACTCCACAAGTGCGTGGAAAATATCGCAAAGAACAACGAAATTACCACCACGTGAACGCAGCGAGCCCTCAAGAGGTGGCCGCGTTCCTCACAGCGTCAGTGTGTGTCCACAGCTCGAGCGAGTAATGTGTTGCTCCACGAGCCCTCCCAGTGTTACCCTTAATATGTTGCTATAGCTCATTAGGCTTATATTTCTCTATCGTTCGCTAATGTGTTGTGTGAGTAACAAATGAAATATCGCGGCCATGCCTACATAAACAATTCCTGTCATGTCAGTTGTAATTTTGTTATCGAGAAGTCAAATAAGAACGTTCATCTATTCTATAACGTTCAGTACTAAACAATATCTAAAGTCTAAACAATGTGAGTCTACCTCCTGCTTAGTTTAAGTTTCATGTTTGTCTATCTCGACCTATTAACTAATATTAAATCTTATTTTCAGCTTACGTCACTCAGCTTACGTCAATAAACGGGAGAAAAAGCAAGTCAACTTTTCCCTACCCCGTTGAGCCCGCACACGTATGTGTCAAGTACAGTATTGTATTTATTACATTATTTACAATTTCCTGAAGCAAATTAAGTCATTTATGTATATTAACATAGATAACATCATAAAAGACATTTATGCATTTGTATTTTCTCGTACGGTCCGCATTTTAGATCGTCTTTGCTCTCGTGGAGCACGCCAGATATAAGTCAGCTTTCTATTTAGGGACAAAATTACAGAAAACGGAACCAATTTTTCCATTCACAGGTTCTGCACCAGGCTCAAGATCAGGCTGGCTGTATATTTTTTTGAAAATTCAAATAGAAACAGGCTTTGAATCTTCTCTGGTTTCTCATGGATACCAAAACTTAAGGATCGCTGAAACTTTCATACCAACTTTGAATTCTCGTTAATAATAGCTTACTTGGAAAGAACAAGTGGCCCAGCGGTAAAAGTTCAGAGTACCAAGATAGGCGCAGAGAGGCGCGGGTTCGATCCCAGCTCTGTGCGCCAGTTTCTGGTCAGAATCGGCGGGAGCGCAGCCGTGCACCACCAATTTCGTGCACCAATAAGCCTTGGATCTCTCTGGACCTACACCAATCAGCCGTGCACCACTCGGCTTTGTCCTCTTCCGGCCTTGACCACCACCTGCCGTGCACCACCAGGCCGCGGATCGAATATGACTTCCAGGCATCGTTAAATTACGTACTTTTACGTTCACTGCATCTGAGGTTAGGTTTCAGATAGCATAGTTCTGTTCCAAAATTTATCGTTCTTCGACAAGTGGCCGTTCGACCGAGGGCTGGTTCGACCCACGGCCGACATACGGATGGCTTGAAGTGTTGAAGGCTACGTTCCGGAAGGCAGGAATCATGATGGTCCATTAAATCCAGGGCAGTGGTGGTCTTCGGCAGGCGACCCGAATCGGCGAGGAGGCCAGGCGTTTAAGCAAAGCAAAAATTGAAGCAGTGAGTTGCGAGTTCGAGACCGCAAAATGCTGTGAATGTTCTGCGATGTTAAGAATCGGCGACAGGCTTACGGCCTAATAATCGCTGAAACCGCTATTATTATTATTAATGATATGTGGGTGGGGGTCAAACTTCATCGAACTTTCATTTTTACTTTGGTTGCCCCATTAAAATAACATATGTTCCAGAAATGAAGATTTTCCCATCAGTTTTGTTAAGAATTCGAATTTTTTCACATTTAGAAAGAAAAGTCAATTGCAAAAACTGCAAAAATTGAACCTTTTGTTCAAAAATTCTGCAAACGTGTTGTTATAATCTGAAAGTTATATAAATAATTTTCAAAAAGTAATATGCATGAAGCGATTCTTACATGTGTAAGTATCAAAATTCATATTCATTTTATCAATGAACAATGATATTTTGTAGCTCGTGCGAGCTAATAGATCGCCTGATAAGGTATTGATGTGATGTAAGCACATGACTAGAAGTCAAATGGTTTCGATACCTCATGTTGCAGTACCTGGGATAACAGCTTACGTGTGATCAACATAGACCAATTTGCGACCTAAATGCTAGAGGGTTAACCTGGTGTTGCCCAGGATTAATATTTGGTGAAATTTTCCTCTTACAAACGCACGCCATTCCGATTCATGTCATCCCGATTCCCGTCATCTGTAAGGACCAAGCCATTTCTAGTTTATCTAAAGGTGATAATTCCATTAAGCGTCATAATCTCAAAACATTACGATTTACTCGGTCTTTAGCCGCGCTTACTCTGGCCGCCAGCGCCATAGGTTAGTAGCTTAATGTGTGCTCCTGATGGGAATTCTTCATTTGCCATACCTGCGATCATTATATTCTGTACAACCTTTGAAACATTTAAGGGGCCAGGCTAATTTCTCTCGTGTCCATTCCAGTTCCGGTTGGGGAGACTATCTGATACACCAGAGTTAACAGCAAGACTATCGAGACTACCACAGTATTTTGTTATCGTCAGTAGACCTATTCACCTGCCCGGTCTTGCCAGTCGCCTGTGCTTCATCCGTCAGTCGTCTGTGATTCTACCGTCAGTCGCCTGTGATTCTACCGTCAGTCGTCTGTGATTCTACCGTCAGTCGCCTGTGATTCTACCGTCAGTCGCCTGTGATTCTACCGCAGTCGTCTGTGATTCTACCGTCAGCTGTCTGCACTCCTTCGAAGGACCTCGCTTCGTTCATCCAGAGACTTCACCTCATTTTAGTTGCTAAGTTAAGTATTCGCTCCTATATCCTTGTCTGTTTATTTATATTAAATTAAAATTTGTGTGTAATCCTTCCATTATTACCCATCGATTCCATTGATGAAGTTCAGCCTCTCCAATGAACTGACATCATCCCACAACCCGTCATCCCGATTACCATCATCCCACAACCCGTCATCCCGATTACCATCATCCCACAACCCGTCATCCCGATTACCACCATCCCACAACCCGTCATCCCGGTTACCACCATCACACAACCCGTCATCCCGATTCCTGTCATCCCGCAACCCGTCATCCCGATTCCTGTCATCCCGCAACCCGTCATCCCGATTCCTGTCATCCCGAAACCCGTCATCCCGATTACCATCATCCCGCAACCCGTTACCCCGATTACCGTCACCCCGAAATCCGTTACCCCGATTATAGTCATTACAAGTCCATTTATTACTTGTGAAACCAAATAACGTTAACCAATGCACGGCCCATTTCACCCCACATGAACAATGAAAATTTCTTTTAATTTCAAGTTTTAAATTTGAATACAACTAATTTATTTTAATTGTATATGTTATAGGCTGAGTTTAGCTCACGATAACAATGAGAAAATAATTACATGCAACACTGATAAAGGGTTGACGTCCTGATACAGGGTTGACGTACTGATACAGGGTTGACGTACTGATACAGGGTTGACGTCCTGATACAGGGTTGACGTACTGATACATGGTTGACGTCTTGACGCAGGGTTGACATACTGATACAGGGTTGACGTACTGATACAGGGTTGACGTCCTGATACAGGGTTGACGTACTGATACAGGGTTGACGTCTTGACGCAGGGTTGACATACTGATACAGGGTTGACGTACTGATACAGGATTGACGTACTGATACAGGGTTGACGTCCTGATACAGGGTTGACGTCCTGATACAGGGTTGACGTAACGAGATTGACAATTCGACATCGTCAAATATTCATATATTAAAGTAATAACCAGGTCACAATATGTTTAATTTCTCGGTATTTTTTTTAATAGAAATAATAATTTAAATAAAGGAACAAAAAATTATAATGAAGTGCTCGCGAACACTTTAGGGGGTTGAATCTCCCCTCAACAGGGATTAAGACCCACTGGTCAGGACACGATCGAGCGTCTCTCCAGCACTCCGTGAGTACCGCCGACATGATGCGCTCAACGCTCATACCACAGCTGTGTTCCGTTGTGCAGTGTTATGACATTTAAGTATGTCGTTGTTTCCAGGTAGCTCCAGTTACCTATATTATCGATATAGAGAAATTTGTAAGTTCAACATAAATTGCAATGATTATGTTTCTTTGTCTCGCCTCAATCGCTATCTCTCATCGTTCAATTTTTTGAAACCATGTGCATGAGCTTAATGGCAATTTATTCTATTCGCATGATTGGAAAACTTATAACATTTATTTTTCTTCGCATTAATTTGACTTCTTAAATTACTTTGACATAAATAATCAGAAATATGAAAACCACTGAGACCTGCTGCTGTTGTTTAACAGAGGATTTGCTAAAAAATTACGGTTTGAGGGATATGCAGCTCTTATATTAAAAAAAATGCTCAGTGATGAACAAAACGCGTTCACGAATATGGTGAGATGGTAAAGCAATTTAAAATAAAATTAGAAACAGCTACAGGGAAAAATTGTTGGAAACGAGTTTTGACATGAATTTCTCAATATGGAATTACGATATGTATATATGTTTCATCTGATATGTAAGTTTTGGAATTCTCGTATGATTGCGGTAATTACACATGCAAGGTATCGTTAATATTCACTTCAAATATCGATTCAATGTAGTTGTGAAGCTTTCGGTGAATCTAATTGCTTATCTGTCTTCTCACAACCGGTCTCACCGTTTATACTTTCTGCATGACTACCGGTACGTCAATCACGTTACCGATGAGACAGTAATTACTAGATACAGGTTTGACAGTTTGAACTTCGACATCGTCAGATTGAATGCGAGTCTGTGACTGTAGTTGCTGTACCAACTTCAAGTGCTGTAGTGCCTGTGAATGATGTAAGTCAGGAGTAATGATGTAGGATTGGCTATTATTTATTGGAGATTTCTTCGATTTGACATGGACATTTCTTCGATTTTCGATACTAGTCAATAAGTAGGTAGGTCTAGTAGCTAGTCATACGAGTGATTCAACTTTAAATTTACGTTACAAGCATACAAAAGAAAACCAGTAACCACTGTAATGTGTCAACTGATAATAAAACTAAACTTATTTAAGATTTGACAGGTGTCAAGTGATTGAAAATGATTGTACCTAGACCAAATACGTACCTAGGTAGGCTAGGTACCTAGCCTAACGTAGGCCTACTCCATAAAAAATTTAAAACTTCTAAAAAGTTCTTAACTTTTTATTGGAGCCTTGGAAGCTTCAATAAGAACTTTATTGGAGTTTTATTGATTTGATTCATCTTGGAAAAATGCCTTGTGAAATTTGTTTATAGCTATTCTCATTTTGCATGCAGCCAGCCACGGGCCACCTGTGGCTCAGTGGCTGTGAGCCTGTGATTTGTGAAATTGTGTCTATAATTAATATTTTGAAAGTTCCAATCTAGATTACCCAATGAAAATGCATGATAGCCTAATTTGCCTGGCATATATTAATAACCTTTGTTTTCTGAGGCCTTAGCTTGAGTTTTCTCCTAACTAGTAAATTAGGCCAAAGGCAACCCAAAGTCACACAATTGGAAATCTGACAAAAATGCCCATGAATCTTGGCAATTCCACTATTTTCTATATTTCTGTGGCCTTGCAGCCCTTGCTGCCTTTTCTCAATTTCTTTATTGATAAATATTGAAAAAAACAGCCCATTTTTACTCAAAATTCAAGAAAATCACCTGTGCAATGATTACTTTTACCTGTAGTTAAGAGTAATTTTACCTAATCTCCAAGTTGGAATTTTTTCATATCTGATTATTGTAAAAGCTTGTGATAGAGATTTAAAATTTAAATGTAACTAAAATTAGATATCAGGATCCAGAAAATTTTAGTAAAAGTTGAGTTTTTTCTTTTTTATAGTGCAGCAGGTACTAGTAGCCATAATATTTTAGTAAATAGTTTGAGTTTTTCAGTCTTGGTTTGTAGCATCAAGTAAATTGTTAATGGATTTTGGAGTACCGTATGTACCTCAACAGTTCATTGCGATTGCAGATTGCTGCCAAATTTTCTGACAACAAAAAGTAAGACAGGAATTTTTTGTTGAATGTTTGTTGCAATTATTTATTGATGTAGCATTTATTTATATACCTAATGACAAATTTTCAAATAAAATGCAATTACAAAATTTTGAACATATAGCACTGCACTTGAAAATTCACCCAAAATTTGGAAACATGAAACTTGGGATTTGCATGATATTTATAAAGTAAGTGTGTACCATAAAATGGGATAACTTTGACCACTTTTTTTTCAAAATGATGCCATTTTTTTACTAGATAAATTAAACTTAAATTGAAACATGCAAAATACAGGTCTATACTCTAGCTTCAATAACCATAAATTGCTGGCTCCTGCCTCTCATAGTTTTGATGTAATTTAAAAAAAAGTGATGGTCTTTGTTACCCCAGCTCATGGGGTTTCTTTGACCAGGTGGTAAAATCAATTTTATTTTTTGGTAAGATAGCTCCAGGTTTTGGCGCATTGTAGTAGAACTCTTCTAGTTACATATGCAAATGACAAATTTGTGGGAAGTGTCTTAGTTTGCAAATTGGGGGCACCACCCCCCAATGGGCGAAATGTGACCTCCTATTGGCAGTTGTGACGGGGTAACATTGACCGGCTTGGAAATTAAGTTAAAATTACCATATATAAGACTCTGTAGAGTCTGAAACATAAAGAAAAAAACATTAATAGGTGTATCGAGCATAAAATATGTTATATAGTTACCTATGGTAATTTTAACTTAATTTCCAAGCCGGTCAATGTTACCCCGTCACGGCTGCTATCCTGTGGTCAAAGTTCCTCCATTGGGGGGTGGTGCCCCCCATTTGCAAACTATGACACTTTCCTAAAATTTGTCATTTGCATATGTAACTAGAAGAGTTCTACTACAATGCATCAAAACTTGGAGTTATTTTATCAAAAAATAAAAAAATTGGAGGGGGTACTCCAACAGGCTTTAAATAATAGCTTTTTTTATTGGGTCACATTATTAATTTTTTAACCTATTAGATATGCAAACTTTTTAAATCTTTCTATTGTGTAACATAGCCTTGGTATTAGACCTTTGATGGCCATTGACAAAATTTTTATATGTCAAATAGTTTTCGAGTTTTGGGGGTTTTTATTAAAAAAACGAAAAGTGGTCAAAGTTACCCCGCCGGTCAAAGTAGTAGTAGCCCCATTTTACGGTATTTCCACTTCTTTTTTAGGGTGATGGAATCTCAGAGAAGATTTTTGTTGAAAAGTTTTGCTCAAGTGTGTTTGTGGTTTCTCATATATATTTCTAATTGTCTTGTCTTACAGCCATGAGTTGTATTTCCTGGTAGCCAAACTTCCTCAACACCATCATGGCTTTGTGTTCTGCGGCCTCTGCTCGTGCCATGTCATCAGCTGCGGCTGCCAAAATTAGCACAGTCACAGTGATAGGGAGCGGACTCATGGGTGCTGGAGTTGCCCAGGTGGGCTTTCAATTACCTTTTTTATTACATCCTATCAACACTATGATGGAAAATATAACTGATATAAGTTAAAAGAAATTCTAGAAAAAATTGCTGGTGAAACTTGACATACTAATGAATCCTGTGGGTGCATTGTATTATAAAATGATGGTAACATTAGAAATTATAAGGTGGACAGTAAGGTAAAGCTTAGCATAATCAGATTTGTTATGTACAGATACTTGCTGTTTGCACTGATGCTTCAATGAATATATAGAGATTATAAGGTGAACAATAAAGTAAATCTTAGCACAAGCAGACCTGTTATGTACAGATACTTGCTGTTTGCACTAATACTTCAATGAATGAAAACCTGTGCAGGTGGCAGCCCAGGCTGGGCAAAAGGTGCACCTTGTTGACGTGGATGCCGCTGCAGTGCAGGCTGCCCAGCAGCGCATCAAGCAGTCTCTGCAGCGAGTTGCCAAGAAGAAATTCGAGGTGATCATGAACATTATATTTAAGTAATAGTTATTTATTTGTGTGTCAAGATAGTTTTCAATAAGATATTTATTATTAAGCTACGGATTTGTGGCTTAGATGCAGAAAATGTGTCAAGGTTCCTCCTCAGTGAGTACCTAACAAATTTTCTTTAGGGATTTTCCTGCAGGTACTGTGTGATAAAGTTAATCTTTCAGTTGCTACACACTTTAGCTAATGTAGCGGATCTGTAAAAAATTTTTCCTGACTTGTTTTGTATTCTTTGCATTTCAAATTCCCATACAATAATTTCTGAATTAGTGTCCTTGTTCCCGTGTATGCCGCGGGGGGATTAACTCGTAACCCACTTAAGTGAAATTGAATTGGTCTAATATGGTGTAAGTAAAGAGTTGCCAGAAGAGTTCTGTTTTATTATGGGATTTTAAAATACAACTGACATGCCAATGAATGTACAAAGACAGTATTGCGAATAGTGCTTTAGGTCTATGGGACTTGGTGCTAGGTAACTAGCAATAGGTATGGAATAGGGAGCACAGGACGGGCAATGGCGCACAAGGTCCTCAGACAGCTGAAAGATATAAAAATTACAAATGAAAGATACTGTGCATAAAGTGACTATATGATGCTAAGCAGGCTATAATCTATCATGCCTGAATTTAGATATTAATTTGAAGCAATCATGCTATAACCTAATAATGAACAAACATCTAATAAATTAGGGATTGATAATTTAGTACAGTAAGTTAGATTGCAAGAGTTATTGGTGCAAAAATCATAATTAATAAACACAAAGCAAACAACATTGGAAGTAGATTTGACACAATAATGCAAGTGAAGTTATATAGGTAAAACAAGGACCGCATCACCATTATGTCTATGAACACTTGAAACAGAGTTAACTAGACTATGGTAGGGTTGTGCTCAATTAATGCAGATAAATAATGCAACGGTTAAAAAGATGTGGAAAATGCAGCATTAAGGAAGACATACATATATATACATTATCAGGAAGAGCTTCACTCACCCAACAGTATTGCAGAATTAACTTGATGCATTCAACTGTCTTGGCAGCATTTTAGTTACTGAATTAAACTTGGCTTGGATGGAATTTAATTATTACCTCTGTTCTGAAACGATATGAAACAAAAGGATGCATTGAGTATGAAAATTGGTTAATGACACAGATGGGTTGAGTGGAGAAAAAGCAATAATGCCTTCCGGCAACATGCCCCCCCACCAGCTCAATCCATCTGGTGTGAAAATTGACTTTGAAATTAACTTATATGAACTGCAACACCACATGGCAAGATTTGCTCTTCCTTCAATCCTATAACCCTAATGACCTTAACTCAATAAATTTATTACGATACTTAGCTTTATCATGACACACACTTCTATTTAAAATGGCGCAAACACAACGAGAAAAAAAATCTACAAGTACAAATTGAGAAAACTGATAAACAATTTTTTAAAATCCTCACGGTATTAATGGGCACCTCTCTCCCCCCCCTGAAAAAAAAGTTTTCTCAAATTCACTTAACAATTTGGCTTATTCGCACTATCAGAAGGGAGTAGAGGATGTATACTTTACAATGTTGATAAAACTTC